GAGTACCCGCTAACTACTCCTTGACCAGTGCAAAATATATTTGGTAGAAACAAACAGTAAACCACCGTGAATGAGAATGTGCATTTGCTGTTGCAGTTGACAATTAATAAAATTGAAATTAATTGAGTTTATACTATAATCATTTTAGAAATAATGTGTGACTAATATTTTTTTTAAAATTAACTTTAAAAACTACTGTTTAAACTGTAACATTTATCAAAACCAAATGACAACGATAAGTAGAAAAGCCAAAGAGAGTTCATATTTGGAGGCCAGAACCGCTTGTTGTCTTCTTTGAAACTACCACTGAGGGGCACCAAAGCTGAAAATCTTTTAATTATATGCATAGAAGAAAAACAAAACAAATAAACAAAAAAGTTTAATGAGAGATAGAAGTTAGATGACATGCTGTTTGTTTACTCCATCTAAGACAAATGGACGAGTTGATCCTTCTGAATCAACACCTTGTTTTACACTGACCTCCTGTCAGAGTGTGTGGGTGTGTGAATGTGTCGCCCTCCGCCAGCTGTTTTATTTCTTTGTGAGATGATGATGTGAAAATGATCCCTCACACAACATCATTATGTCTCTGTGTGGGAACATATTCTGTACTTTCGTAAGATTGAATATTTCCAGAAAGAAGAAAAAACACTGCAGGACATAATGACTTCCAAATCTCTGCATGCGTGTGTAATTATGCAAGCTGTTTTGGCCTCACTCATTGTTTTATGAAACGATGTGATTATTTTTCAAGTGCTAACATGTTTTTAAATTCCTTTGCTGTGTTTATTCACGAAAATATTCTTATAAAACCTCTTTATAATCAGTGAATCACAGCAGGAGTGACATGTAACACCGCACACTGACTGTAATGTCAGCTGTGTTGTGTCTGCTGAAGCTGGATGTCACACTTTATAACAGCACGGAGCTCAAAGTATCACTGTTTCCCATGTTTTGACACATAAACTTGCTTTCATCAGGAGCAAATGTTGTGTTTAGAGCCATGAATAAATCATATTATGTTTGAAAAAGGCTCGCCTGGCCTACTTCAGCTAAAACTGCTGAGACAGTCAGAAGAAATGATAAATAAAGAGAAATTAGTGAGCACCAACACACATATTTATTTCCACAGCTGAGCTGCACTAAAACTGAGCTGGAGGATGCCACAATGTGAGAAACACATAACACATTCACAAGCTGAATTCTGAAAATAATGAACTCTACATGGTTTATCGATGATATTACATAGTTGTTTCTTGCACAACATATTCATTTTCCTGTACTTATAAATATATACAGTACAGGCCAAAAGTTTGGACACACCTTCTCATTCAATGCGTTTTCTTTATTTTCATGACTATTTACATTGTAGATTCTCACTGAAGGCATCAAAACTATGAATGAACACATGTGGAGTTATGTACTTAACAAAAAAAGGTGAAATAACTCAAAACATGTTTTATATTCTAGTTTCTTCAAAATAGCCACCCTTTGCTCTGATTACTGCTTTGCACACTCTTGGCATTCTCTCCATGAGCTTCAAGAGGTAGTCACCTGAAATGGTTTTCCAACAGTCTTGAAGGAGTTCCCAGAGGTGTTTAGCACTTGTTGGCCCCTTTGCCTTCACTCTGCGGTCCAGCTCACCCCAAACCATCTGGATTGGGTTCAGGTCCGGTGACTGTGGAGGCCAGGTCATCTGCCGCAGCACTCCATCAGTCTCCTTCTTGGTCAAATAGCCCTTACACAGCCTGGAGGTGTGTTTGGGGTCATTGTCCTGTTGAAAAATAAATGATCGTCCAGCTAAACGCAAACCGGATGGGATGGCATGTCGCTGCAGGATGCTGTGGTAGCCATGCTGGTTCAGTGTGCCTTCAATTTTGAATAAATCCCCAACAGTGTCACCAGCAAAACACTCCCACACCATCACACCTCCTCCTCCATGCTTCACAGTGGGAACCAGGCATGTGGAATCCATCCGTTCACCTTTTCTGCGTCTCACAAAGACACGGCGGTTGGAACCAAAGATCTCAAATTTGGACTCATCAGACCAAAGCACAGATTTCCACTGGTCTAATGTCCATTCCTTGTGTTTCTTGGCCCAAACAAATCTCTTCTGCTTGTTGCCTCTCCTTAGCAGTGGTTTCCTAGCAGCTATTTGACCATGAAGGCCTGATTGGCGCAGTCTCCTCTTAACAGTTGTTCTAGAGATGGGTCTGCTGCTAGAACTCTGTGTGGCATTCATCTGGTCTCTGATCTGAGCTGCTGTTAACTTGCGATTTCTGAGGCTGGTGACTCGGATGAACTTATCCTCAGAAGCAGAGGTGACTCTTGGTCTTCCTTTCCTGGGTCGGTCCTCATGTGTGCCAGTTTGGTTGTAGCGCTTGATGGTTTTTGCGACTCCACTTGGGGACACATTTAAAGTTTTTGCAATTTTCCGGACTGACTGACCTTCATTTCTTAAAGTAATGATGGCCACTTGTTTTTCTTTAGTTAGCTGATTGGTTCTTGCCATAATATGAATTTTAACAGTTGTCCAATAGGGCTGTCGGCTGTGTATTAACCTGACTTCTGCACAACACAACTGATGGTCCCAACCCCATTGATAAAGCAAGAAATTCCACTAATTAACCCTGATAAGGCACACCTGTGAAGTGAAAACCATTTCAGGTGACTACCTCTTGAAGCTCATGGAGAGAATGCCAAGAGTGTGCAAAGCAGTAATCAGAGCAAAGGGTGGCTATTTTGAAGAAACTAGAATATAAAACATGTTTTAAGTTATTTCACCTTTTTTTGTTAAGTACATAACTCCACATGTGTTCATTCATAGTTTTGATGCCTTCAGTGAGAATCTACAATGTAAATAGTCATGAAAATAAAGAAAACGCATTGAATGAGAAGGTGTGTCCAAACTTTTGGCCTGTACTGTATATCCATATTATATGTAAAATGGCATTTACTAAACTTTAGACTAAATATTTGCTTTGATAAGCTCCTTAAAAAGACTCTGAAATACAAGTCTTAACATTTTATTTTATTGTCCTAAATCAAAACTTGTGTGAACGAATGTTAACACAAATGTGAAAATGTATTTATTTATTTCATTTACTTATGTATTTTTTTAAACAGAATTAGTTGTTCCACCTGCCGAGGAAGACCATGAGATGCAACTGAAAATCTAGTAAGTAGACCTTAAGTTGAGATCTTTATGTCAAACTAGTTTTAAAAAGTTTTCTGTGCTATGTGAACCCATCAACCTAATACTGACGTCTACTCAACCCTAATTTTATTACTTGGCTGTCGGGGACGAGACAAGTTAAAAAGTTGATTATAATGTTTGACTTGAAAAGTCATAACTGGACTTAATCAAGCTGGTATTGAATTTCAACTTGATATTTTGTAATTTGACTTTGTAAGTCAACACTTTGGCTCAGTATCTTATTGTTTTGACCCACCGTCGTTATTTTCTGTCAGTTCTTAGATTTAATTTTACATTATATTTCTATTTTTTTCTTTTCCTGGAAGAGCTTTCATAACATACAGCAGGGTTTACAGCCGCAGTGTCAGCATCTTCTTCCTCTTCTTCTTCTTCTTCTTCTTCTTCTTCTTCTTCTTCTTCTTCTTCCGCATCATGCATTATACCATCACTTCCTGCTCTGGAGTGACAAGATTAATAAACAGTGTAGTTTTAATCTCTTTGCCCCTTTATTCATCTTAAATTGAGCTATATGCCACATTCAGAGCATATCAATGATTCAGTCTGGCACGGGATAACTGCAAATGGTTCTCAACATGGAGGTGGCTGAGCCCGCAGCAAGCAGCTAACTGTGCTAAACACAACAACAGAGCTAACAGTGTTAACCAGGGGTAACTGGAGGGTGGACACTCCACTTTGGCAATGACACCGTCCCCAATACCAGCAGCATGAGTGCAGTGCAAAGCAGCAATGATGAGCCAGCCCCGGGAATACACACTCAAGGCCTCAGATGCACAAACATGCACATGCGGTTGAACCAGCCACCACAACAACAAAACAGAGAGGCTCAGATTACAACACACACACACACACACACACAGAGGGAGCATGACTTCATTCTCCTCTTAGGATGTTATTACTCCACTATATCTGTACATAGCAAATAGTGGCATGCTGCTATACTGATGCTCTGAATGTAACATATGGTGACCCTAAAGCATTAGGGTTGTTTAAATCATCTTGTTCCACACTGTCTCTCTGACAGTATATTTTCTGTATCATCTTGTTTCAGTTCTTTATCAAAGCTGTATGATGCTAACACTGAGTGAAGTATTCACTCCATGATTTTTATGGCTCCATAACTCCATCAAATGGAAATATTCTAGATGTCTTGTGCATCATTTCACACACATTTAGCCTGGCACATTTGGTATCTTTGGACTTTGGGATCTCCACTGGAATCTAAAATACATTTCTGTGGATTTAAACTATATTTGGCTGCACAGGTCAATTAAGTTTAACAGGTTTAATATATATACACTTATATGAATGTAGAAGTCTGACATGTATCCCATGGCTCTCTTAACCAAAATCAAACATTTCTAACCAGTCGCTGTTATTACATTTACACATTTAGAGGACTGTGCAGCCTGGATTCTTGAACTGTTGTATGTCTCCATTATTGGATCTACTAGAAATTTGATTTCCATTTAAAACAAATCTAATCTGATTTAAAATAAATTCCCCAAATCCAACTTGACATATTTGGTATCTTTGGCAACTTTGGAAACAGGACTAGAATTTAAAGTTTGTAGCTTTAAGAAATCAAAAACAAAACAACCTGCTAAACCAGAGTAATACAACTAATGCAAACCTCATCAAACCAACACGAGCTGAGCCAAGCTGAGCCGAGCCAAGCCGAGCTGAGCCAAGCCAAGCCAAGCCCCTGGCTGTGAGCAGGAGGAGGAGTAGCCAGGCTGCTGGACTGGCTGATACTGTGATTCAGCTGTTGGGGGTTTGTTAAAGCCTCAGTCAGTCAGTCAGTCAGTCAGTTCAGCTGCTAACACAGACTGAGAGCACATGTTAAATATAGAGCAGACTCTCACTCCTGACCAGGAACAAACAGGCTGAAAGAAGAAGAAGAACTGATTTTATTGAAGCTGAAAGAAAGAGTCTCTCTCTCTCTCTCTCTCTCTCTCTCTCTCTCTCTCTCTCTCTCTCTCTCTCTCCTCAGTTCTAACTCGCCCTTTGAGCTCACAGACCAAACTTGGAGAGGACGAAGCTTCACACCACTCTGTTACTGCGCCTCCAACTTTGGCAAGAGAAGAAGAAAAAGACCAGAGAAAACTAAAGAGGAACATTAAAGGACAGAAGATATTTCAGAAATAATCAGATAAACACAGTGATGTGAGAGATAAACTCATCACAGAGGACGGGAGTCATATTTTGGGACTGAACAGCTGTGTGTGACACCTCTGACGGACTGAGACAGGTAAGATAAAGTGATGTCATCACTAACAGGTGTTTATTTAACACTTGGTGAAGAAAAAAATATCACTTCTGATAATATTCAATTAAACATCAAACACTGTGTTTAAAATCCTAAAAACTATTGATAATTTTTTTTTAAAAAAAAAAACACTACAAAAAATTCTTGTAAATTTAATCAATAAATCAAGATTAAAAGTTAAAGCATATCACAGTATTTAAATATCATATAACATGAATACTCAGTGCTGAGTTAACTTATTGACAGAATTTTGATGAATTATTATTACAAAGACTATTGTTTGTTTGGTCAGAAAAAGTCAGCATCACATTGGCATATCACTTTGAATTTATTCGTATCAGCAAAATGTACTTGTAATATCAAAAGTACAATCACAGATATGATGACAGAATGATTCCTATCAGTGTTATATTATCATATGTTATAATATCAGATGATATTGTTACTGCGGCATTAATGTGAAAGCAGCATTGTATCTGGATGTGTAAGAATGCTCTACATTGTCAGCTTGTCTGATTTAAAAAATCTTTATCTGCAAGTAACATATGTGTTGTATAAATACAGCAGAGTAAACAAACAGTGTATTCCCTCTGGGAATAAGACGAAAGTACTCAAGTAAAGTAAATGCACCTAAAAATCATACCTAAGTACAGTACTTCAGTAACTGTACTAAGCTACACCACTGGAAATGAGCAAAAGAAATTAATACCGAGTCTGAATTTACATTACATTCACTGCACAGTGATTCACCTTTAGATATATTTTTTGTTAGTAGTATTAAATGAACAAACTTTACGACAACATAAGCTTACTTTGCAGTTGCCAAACCCACCTGAGACCCTCAGCGGCCCCGAGGGCTTCAAGGTCAACATGTGGCTATTAGTTTGTAGTAATTTGGTTAATCACACTTTTGTTTGGTGATACACAAAACTAAGGCACAATATTAACTTCAGGTGACACCATCATTATTACATAATGATGAGGCTCCATCTTGTAGATAGATCCCAAGTTTAAATCTAGTTTGAAGGACTTAATGTTGCATTTACATGGTTTACATATCTAAATAAATCTGAGCTTAATCATGTCACAAACGTAAGACTAAGTTATACATATGCAGAGAGAGTGGTAGAAACAGTACGGTCATAGGCGTAGATTTCAGGAGGGGACTCAGGGGACACATTTCCCTCAGTATTTATATTTACCCCACCCCCCACCATCAACGCCCAAATAAAAAATGAAGCATCCAAGGACTTTTATTTTGGCAAAAGTAAAGACAGTTGCATAAGAATGTAGCAGAATACTGCAAATCAAGTGTTTGATGCTCAGAATTTTCTGGCAGAAGACCACCAAACCTCCTGTTTCATACTGTATGTGTCCCCCCAGCACAGTGTTGAAACAAAACCTATGGCCAAACCTTGTCTCAGAGGGCTTTAGAATCAGTATAATACACAATATCCATCCACTAACCATTGATTCTCTATTCAGATAAGGAAAAACTCCACAAAAAAACCTTCAACAAGAAAAGACAGGATGCAATATATGTTTTATAAACAGAGTAGACCAACAGCAGCAGCAGAATTACAATATGGAGAAACAGAACTGACTGTTTTCAGTAAATAAAGTCCATACAACATGGTAGTGAATGATAAATTAAAGAGTTATGGACAAGAAGTGTTTGGAGTGAAGACCGTGAGTTACTGGAATGAAGGTTCATGTTAAATGTCTGCGTGTTGCTCAGTCTGACTCATGAATGGAGCGGCTGTAAGACGCTCACACAGTGACTCAGTGAGTTATGACTCCCTTCATTCACAGCCCAGTAAATGCTTGTTTCAGGAAGCAGTACATTAGACAGCATTAATTTAATAGATCTTTTACCAGAGTACTTAAGCTCTGCTCTGCCCCGGGGGGACGAGCTGCTTTTAGTGATATGTAGCTGCGGAAAACAGAGAGGAGATGATGCAGTGGGCAGAACAGAGCTCCATGCAAAGTAAAGGAGACTTCTTCAGGACATGGATGTCACCATCTACAACAAAATTATTTGTCTGGTCCTTTCAAAACAGTTACAAACCACTGTTGAAAAAAAAGTCCATTGTATGATGTGACAATGCTGTGGTTAAGGTTTGGTTAGGTTTAGAACCAAAACAACTTGGTTAGGTTTAGGGAAACATCATGTGTTTGTGTTAAAACAAGTACTACAAGTACAAGTATAAGATAATATGTGGCTGAGTCTTACCAAATCAAATGGGGATCTTCCAAAGTTTCTGGGTTTTTAGTACATTTTTTGTTACTGCCCCACTACTGCAGCTTAACAGGGAAACACAAAGATTTAAACAGATGAGTGATGCTGTTATTCTGCTTGCTAAGACAGTCCCAGACATTCATGTTCCCCTGAGGACAAATTATAACAACTGATTCCCTGGCTTTTTCTGTGGCACCATCATATCTTAATATCTTCTTTATAAATGTTTACAATTTTACTAGTATTTCCTGGCATTTGATAAACACAAATAAAGTATCAAATACAGAAAAGGTTCATCCCCTGGGGACCATGACGGTCCATGACAAGTTTATCCTTGAGGTCGAGCTAGAGAAAAGATAATACTGTCACTATAACCAAAATATTTGTAATGGCCAATTGTTGCTGCAAAACTGAACATTTTATCTGACCTGACACAGCTGTGGTTAGGGTTTATGAAATCAATTTGGTGAAAGATCATAAGTAATGACATAAGAATTGGTCATACAGTCATATATACACACAGTATTTTTGAAAACAGGGGTTTCCCCTCCTTCGTTCTGAAAAAAAAAAAAAATCCCATCCACACACACAGTTGCATATAAATTTTTTTTTTTTTTTTTTTTTTTAAAAACTGTCTAATTGAAATGCAAAAACAAACTGAGACTCTGTCAAGAGCATGCCAAACCAACAGCCGGTCATATTAGAGCTTAGATCGGGCCCAAAAAATCCAGCCCGACCCCACCCTAGCCCCTGGATGTTCTGTCGGAGCCCGGCCCATCCCTTTAACTGTAATTATGAGCCCGATCCCGGCTTAAACTTGACATTTTTTTAAGGATACGAACGTGGACATTGAAGGCTGACTCTCATCTTTCTTTCCATGACAAGCCTTCGTCATGTGCCTCTTAAGTGTTGAGGTCCCTGTCTTTTTGCTGTCATATACCAGCATCATGCTGCACTTGGTACACTCGACGAAGCTGACACACACGTTGTCACCGTCGACAACTCACATGTGCGCGGCCAGTGGCGCCATCAAGGGGGGGCCGGCCCAGGGTCGGGTCGGGTTCGGGCTCGGGCAGAGAATCTAAGCTGTAGGTCATATTGATGTTGGTCACTCAGCAGCCTGATATTTTTTACCTGGACCTTTGTGGTGCATTCTTTCACCCCTGTTTCTCACAAACATGTAAGAAGTCCTGTAAGTAAGGCTAGAGTAAGCATTATTTTGGTCACGTCTGCCATTGCACGAAATGTCCCCTCATTTGTGACACCTCACAAAGAAGATAACAGTATACACTGTTATGTTACAAGCCAAAAACTCCTGTTGAAAACTGAGTTTCTGACAATCTTTGCCATGGATAGAGTTTAAAAAAGGTCTGTTTTTGGGAAACTAAAATGCCGTTGTGCAGATGAAAGGCCACATTTTTGAATATACTGTATACCTTTTGTCAGTGACTGTGATAAAAGAAGCCAACTTTCCTCCTTTGCGCCCAATGGACAAGACTCATAATTCCAATGGCCACTAGAAGGCGCTGAACATAAAAACACGCTATAGAGCGCTACAGGGCTGATGGTTTTTTGGTGGGCCGATGCAAAAGTTAGTGATGCCCTGGTTCCCTCATCAAAATGGGATTTTTCCACTGGATTTTGGATTATTGCAGAAATCAAGTTCTGTGGCAAACAGAAGTTTATGGAACTTACAGGTTTAATTCAGCAAGAAAAATGAACACCATTTTTATGATTTTTTAAGGTGTAAATGCAATTGCCAGAAGTAAAAAGCATCGTTAGGCTGTTAACAAACTATACCATGATGCCTGAAGTCGTATGACTTCAAATTCCCACCACTATGAAGCTGTAAAGCCGTGTTAGGTGTGGGACATTCTGTGGTCTCATTTAGCCCCTCGTTAAAGCTACCTTTTCTAAGACACGTAAAAGCATCACAATTCACAAGCAATATATTTAATGAGGTATATTATGCAGTAGAAATGTGAAAGTCTCTTGAGCTTGTGTTAACCACAGACCTTATTTCAGGCATCTAAACCTATTCAAAAAAACTCATTAACTTTACGAGAAGAACTGGGAGTGCTAAAATGCAACTTATTTCCGGGATTACGGACTCATTCCTGCACCACTTTCTTACTGGGCATTTGCTGGAAATGTGCCGATATTACTTTTTTTCTTGGGAGGACAGCCTTCTGCATAACGTATTAAGTACCAAAGATTATAAAAATATACACATTTGTTTTGCCGATAACCAGTTTTATTTTCTGTTTGTTTTTTTTGGAAATTATTGAATGTTCATATATACAGCGTGATTGTAAATACCTGTAAACTGCAGACTCTGCCATGGTTCAATGTTTTGCTCAATAAGAGCACTGATGTCTGCTGTAAGAATCAAACCTGTGACATCTGGATGTCAGGACAGTTTGTCTGCCCTGCAGACGACGGCGCTACTGTTTGCCTCCCCTTCTAGTTAAATGTGGAAAATGTGCCCCATTTGATCTACGTTTAATCCAAACAATAAACACAGAGGCTCTTTGGCTCGACCTCCTCTGTGTTATTGTACCCAGCATGCTTTGCCCTGCCCAGATCTCATGGGAACTCTCTCTCCATTAATAGCTTTTTTCCACTGTTTTCATTGCGAGTTAGTTTTGAATCCTTTTGCTGAGGCAGATATGTAGAGGAAAGGATTATCTTCAACAGAACACTTCAACAGAAGTCTGTCATTTTGTTTCATTTATACAAGGAT